AATCGAGTGATTAATAAAGATACTACTATAATTTCATGACTGAAAGTCCGATTCTGCAGTACTTACTATATATAAATACACATGTTTGTATGTTGTTTATGGTTGATAAACGGCGAGGTTTTAGTCGGAAGACTAATAGATCATTTTACTATATACGGAGCCAGTGCGTGGTTACAGATATGTATATACAGTATATCTATGTTATGCTTTAGCGCTTTGCAATGAGACCGAGACTGAAGCTGTTATTTTCCGAGTGTGTTTGAGTTAAAATTTAGTACTATTTTATATGAAGATGAACCCCGTTCTCCGCCGTCCATGCGACAATCACTCTGATAGAAAGTCTTTCCAATGGACCTAACTAAAACTTTGGAGAGTGGAGGACTAATGCTTTTGGAAGTACTTTTAGCAAGTGGTCATGTCAATCATGTGAATCTTTTGCAAATGAAATGACATTCAAAGTAAAGGCTATTAGTCATGTATGTATGTAGCCCAACCAAATATTGTATACATGGCGTTCAAATCACTGAAAACGTCGTTCCAGTGAACGATGTCAATATGTTGTTTTTCCATTTTGACTTGCTGAAGTAAATTATCTAATTTAAACCTGGAGCTAAGAGCTTCTAGCCGACAGACTGGTATGGTTTTTAAGTCACATTTTGCAATAAACTCAAACTATGATTCTCAGAATGTCATAGTTTGATATAAGACTTCGCGGTATGCCGGGTAAGATTATACTTCTTATGGTACAAATATTTGATATAAGCCTGAAGAGCTTCTAGCCGACAGACTGGTATGGTTTAAAGTCACAGTTTGCAATAAACTCAAACTATGATTTTCAGAATGTCATAGTTTGATATAAGACTTTGTAATATGCCGGGTAAGATTATACTTCTTATGATACCTATTGCTATCTATCATTTGAACATTTTTTTCCCATATGGTTAGCGTCTTTTAGTATAAATAACTCCGTAAAGTCCTCAGCATCTAATGTTTTTGATTCCACGATTCACGATAATAAGTTTAGTATAAAGTACACAATTGTTAATTATACTTAGTGCATTAATTACAGTTGGTTAGCAAACGACTGAAACCGTCCGACGTGGCTCAAAGTTTTGGGAGCATTTTGGACATTTTTGTCAAAATAGCCTATAAAAACGCTCTATATTGAAAAAAGTTATGGCGATTTTCATGGTACTGGAGTAGTACTGCATGCAAATAATAGAAAAATTGACTTTATTAACGTCTCAAATCGTTGCAGCC